GTTGGGAAGGCAGACCCTGCCTTGTTCTGTCTATCAGTCCCTTGGGATATTTGAACATGCCCACCCACAAGGTCTGCAGAAGGACTGGTTGGACACCAGGGGCATTTGTAATCAGATCTGGTGCCTCTAATGGACACTATCTTTGCCTCTACTGGGATCCTAGCTGACTGCTGACTTTCTCTAGACAAATAGAAGGGTGATATAGCCCTGTGTGTTTGTAATTTAATTTGAAGTAGTGCGTCTTCCTGACATGGGCATGGGTATTGAGAAAATGAATGGTACTTGATGGTCAGTCCACATTTTGGCTGGAGTTCATGCTGCTGTAGTTCACTGGGCCAGGCCTCGGGTAACCATTGCTGTCAGGATAACTGGAGTCCTTGCTTCTGTGTGAAGTTTCCATCACAGTATATATTTGCCTTTCCCATGAATCATTTTAGATACCTCATAACTATAGGAGTTGTGTACTGCATCATATGTGTGTGTGTGGCTGGTGGGTTTGGAGAGGGTGGTGTGGATGTGTGTGTGCCAGTAGTGGGGATAGAAGCCAGGGATAATGTGCCTTGTTAAAATGTGTTTTTGTGAATAAGTTGCCAAGGCTGGCATTAAACTGTTAATCTTCCACCTCTACCTTTTGAGTAGTCACAATTCTCAGCAGTTTAGAATTATAAGTCACCCATTTGTCTTGATTTTGAGTCAGTTTCTTGCCGGTAGATACTGATGGGACAACTCTGTTACTAGTATGTGATAGGCAGCCCAATGCAGTAAATGCTAGTTTGTAAGCAGTCATAATATGTATAGAGCAATAGTCCAATAAAATGGTTAAGAAGCTGCACCTTTCTGCATTTCTAGCATGGGGGGCATGGTAGGTGGAGCACCAATGATATCACTATCTCCAGACCAGTTTGAGCAATATTGCATTAAAACACAAAATAATCAAACAATATAAATATAAAACAAGCCAAAATGGTGCGATTCACAGGAACTTAATAAATATAAAAGAATCCTTTTATTTGACCCATTCATATTTCTCTTTACCTTACTAACCAAATAACAAATATTAATCATTGTGGATATTTTAAATAATATAGCCATAAACAGAAACTACAACTAATCTCTAAAACTTGTGTAAGTTTACATAATTATATTCATTTTCAAACCTACCTTATATTCCTCTTCATCTTGAGGAAAATAGCATCCCAAAAGTGTGAACAATAACTAGCATTAGAGTCCAATTAAATTTGCTTTATTCTAGTTATTATTCTTCCATTCTGTTTTGGGGACATGAGCAAGACTTCTGCGTATTCAGGGTGAACTAGGACACTGAAGTATAACCCAAGCCCCAAAGAACAATTTTAAATTTAGAATACTCCAACTGATATCAAACTTTATTTAGATAAAAGTCAAATTTAAAAAAGGAAATTAACTTTTGATTTTCATTCTTAACCATATCTACATTGTTTTACATCTAAAATCAATGACACATCCAAACAGCCAAATAAAACATAAAAACAATGTAAAAGGTCATAGTAGACATCAAATCAATAAATTTAAACAAATCCTGTCATTATATACATTCAAATATCTTGAAATGTTATAGACCAAGGCATAGATGTTTAATTGTCTTATAAAGGCATTTTAATATAACCATAAACAAAAGTAGTGAAACGTCTTCAGAAAGTTTGACAGTTTCCATATTCTTTTTCAGAACCTACATTATATCTTCAACTTTTAACCCCAACTGACATTAATCTTGATTTAGATAAAAGTCAAATTTAAGAAATGGAAATTTACTTTTGATTTTTATTTTTCAACTTATCTACACTGTTTTTCATATAAAATCCATTAAAAAATGTCTCCATGCTCCTCATCCCTTGGGTTCTTTCCTCATGTATCCTAATCTGTTACTTTTCTGCCGCCCTTCCCTTCCTGTTGATCGCTTTCTTGTAGGATATCTCCCTATCTTCCCTCCTTTCCCCTAATCTTGCATTTTCCATGGATTTACAGATAAATCAAAATAAAAAAATTTACAGAGAAAAGAATTTTTTTGGGTCCGGTCGTGGGGGTCTGAACTCTGGGCCTGGGCACTGTCCCTCAGCTCTTCAGCTCAAGGCTAGTGCTCTACCACTTGAGCCACAGCGCCACTTCCGGCTTTTTCCTTTTTGCTTATGTGGTGCTGAGGAATCGAACCCAGGGCTTCAGGCATGCAAGGCAAGCGCTCTACCACGGAGCAACCTGCCCAGCCCCCCTAAAAGTATTATTTTTGAAGAGTGTATTAACCCATAGGGCCCCGATAATCAACGGGGCCCAATAGTCAGCATGGCCCCATGATCCAGCCTGCTAGAGGGGACAGGGCATCAAGAGGTGAGGCTCACAGCTGCACAGACCTGGCCACTACAGAGAGCCAGGAAATGAGAGGCTGAAGTCACGGGCCCAAGTGGCAGGCAGTCTGAGAGGCGGGCCATGTCGCTGAAAGGGGCGGGGCACGCCGCCGAAAGGGGGCGGGGTGTGCTATTGGGGGGGTGGGGCGTCGAGGCCCACTTGGTGAGCTGCCTATTGGTATTGGAGCGGGGGCAGGGGCGGAGCATGAATGGCGATTTGAAACCGTTGGTTAGGGAGGTGCGCAGCCGATCTAGGTATATATAGGCTGCGTGCTCCTAGGCCTGAGGAGAGGTTAGAGTGAGGGGAGGGGACAGCAGTCCACAGGGAGGGCCCAGGAGTTCGGAGGACACCTGGACTCATGAGGCGAGGGGATTCCGGAGGAGTCCGGGAGAGTCCTGAGGAGAGAGGAGTCCGGAGGAGACAGCAGTCCTGAGGTGAGGGGAGTCCGGAGGGGTCCGGAGGAGACCCGAGTCCTGAGGTGAGGGGAGTTAGGGAAAGACCGGGAGTCCTGAGGGAGGAAGTGCGCGTGGAGGAAGGAGAGGAGCAGGAGTGGAGGGACAGACCGCAGGAGGGGGGCCTGCCGGAGCCGAGCAGGGCGGGCCTGGGGCGGACAGGGCAGGTCTTGGGGGGGCATTTGGGGCTTCTCGAGGAAGCTATTCAGGCCTGCTTGAGGGGTCATTCGGGGCCTCCTCCGGAGGTCATTCAGGGTCTCCTCGAGAGGTCATTCGGGGCCTCCTCGGGAGGTCATTTGGGACCTCTTCCAGAAGTCATTCGGGGTCTCCTCCAAAGGTCATTCGGGGCCTCCTCGGGAGGTCATTTGGGACCTCTTCCAGAGGTCATTCGGGGGTCTCCTCCGGAGGTCATTCGGGGCCTCCTCGGGAGGTCATTTGGGACCTCTTCCAGAAGTCATTCGGGGTCTCCTCCAGAGGTCATTCGGGGCCTCCTCAGGAGGTCATTTGGGACCTCTTCCAGAGGTCATTTGGGGTCTCCTCCGGAGGTCACACGGGGCCTCCTCGGGAGGTCATTAGGGGCCGGCCTCTAGAGAGGCCTGTGGAAAGGCGCGTCCCAGAGCAGAGCAGGGCAGGCCTGTGGAGAGCAGAAAGGCCTGCAGAGAAGGAGAAAAGGAAGAAAGGGAAAAGCCTTCCCCTTTGGAGCTTTGGAGCTTTGGAGGTCTGAGGTATGGAGGTTTGCACACTGACTAAATGATGGTTTGCAGACCAACTAATAAAGGTCGGAGAGGGGGTCAGGATGGACTAGTGGAGGCTTGGAGGTTTGGTGGTCGAGGTTGCTCTTGGTTCTGGACAAAGACAAGGTTCTAGCCCAGGATAAGGAAGTCTCAGGACCCCTTTCTGGTGTAAGTAGTAAAAATAAACTTCTTTTGTTCATATCTCACTGTGCCTCATTGGATTGAATCCCTCTTTGGAGGTCATAAGTACAGTAGTACATGAGGAATCCTTATGTGGACATATTAGTGGAAAGAGACCATTTCAGATGAAGTATATCCTCTCTCCTACATAGGTTTCTTTCTCAATTTGTTTAAAATGACACTGGGAAGAACTCCATGGTCTCCTTCTCTTTACCCATAAACCTTTCAAACTCAGTATTAGAAATATGAAAGGACCTGAGTTTGGGCACTTCTTTCTCCTCATGTGGCCTGTGAATAAATGGATTTGCTGAGAGACTGAACCTACTGGATATATCACCTACATAGTAAACATCACAGCCAAAAGTGAAGGTAGTTGTCCAAAATTCACATCAATACTTCCCTTGGTTATCTGAAGCTGTTTGGTTTCTTCTACTAAATTAAGTGGACAGGAATATCTGATGGGAAACCTTAAGGAGTTTCCCTGCCTACCTGACATTGTGAAAGAAGAGATCGCATCAAATGGAGAAAGAAGGGATGAGGAGATGTCAGGAGAGGAAGTGTGGGTAGCAGAAGCTAAGAGAGCACAATATAGTAAGAAGCTCACTGGATGCTGCTCGCTGTCCACTGGTCACTTGTGATGATCCAAATTTGTTTACAGACAATTCCATGGAAACCCCAAGATTCTACTAGGTGGTGATAGGCTAGGTGGGAGAATGATGTCATCTGTTAGAGCAGTTTAAGGGCATGAAGTAGCCAATCACAAGATTGGATTGTGAACCAGAAAAGGGGATTGGGGAAGACCTCTAACAGCTCCTGAGTGGTTGAGCTCTGGGGAATTGATGTCTACAAGTCAGATATGGCATCTGTTTTCCCTTTTGTGCCCTGCATTTTCCTTGATGATTCTTTTCCTTCCTATGTCTTAGTTCTGTTGCCTCTTCCTTATTCTCCCACAGAACAGTTTTCCTTTTGCCAGCATACCTTTGGATCCCTAACAATACCTGAAAAGAATATAAGTTTAAATATATGTGCAAACAGAAATGGTTTTTTATTAATCATCTATTCCATCATGTTCCATTGTACACTTTGAAGAATTATTAAAATATAGACAGAGAATTTTAGTGTACTTTAACCATGAAGCTATATGAATATATCTATATATTCCTATATGTTTATGTAGTCTGTTTAACTCTTATCATATACAGGGAATTAAAGCAAAAAGTGGGTAGTGAAAATGTGACTCACAGTCTTAAAGGTATTATATGGCGTAGCCATAGTATTGGGCAATCTCCATGTCTATTTGTCTCTGGTGGAAAAATGGGATTTTCCCCACAAAGGTGTTTTTGGAAGCCTTGTCACGCTCTTGCTGAGCCCGCCTTTTCATGGCTTCGCGCTCTGGCCTCTGCTTCTTGCTGATGGGATCTGACTCTACTGGGCCAGGAACATGGGATTTCCTCCATGGAATGGGTTGCAAGCTGAAGTCTTGCAGGAGATATTGGTGTGGAAGCTTAGGTAGTGAGCTGAGCTTGGTGCCAGTAGTGGAAAGGGGATTGTACCACAGAGAAATGGAGGATGAGGTTTCATAGGGTGCAGGCCTCCTAGAAAGAGCAGACTGGGGAGGATGGTTGATTGCCCCCAGAGTGGAATTGCTGAAAATAGGCCGAGGTGGTTTGATTGGAGCTATCAGACATGAGTTGTCAGTAGCTGGTTGGGCTGCATTGACTGGAACAGGCTGGGCTGTGTTAGGAGGAGGCTGGGCAGGGGCAGCTCCAGTGGGTCTCCGGGAGGCCAGAGACTGTGGCCTGCGAAAAACAGGTCGAGCTGGAGGCTTCTCTGGGGAGAGAAAAGGCAAAGGCACCAACTTGACCTTTCCAGGTGGAGGCAGCAGCTCACTCTGGCTTGGGGAGGGACACTGGTTTTCTGCACTCCTCTTTGTTTTGTTTACTGGAAATTTCTCAGGATTTCTAGAATGCAGCCTTGATTGAGTTGCTGTTGAAAATCTGTTGTCTTTGGAATTGGCCTTTCCCAAGGCCCTGGAGGTAGGCAGCCCAGATTTCTTCCCACTCTTGTCACCCAGTGCGTGAAAAACCTGCACTGACTCCATCATGTGCATGGCTAGGTGGCTTCGAGGCTTTCTCAAGGCCTCTTGGGAAGGCTCAGGTTGGTTTCTCTTGCGTCTTTCCTTTGTCGTGCTTGTCTTCTGTGTTTGCACTTGGTTCTCTGACTGTTTGGTCATTCCAATTCTCTTCCTGTTCTTTTCTCTAGCTCGTGTGTTGTTTTCCTGCCCCTGGGTCTTACTTTTGCTGACGCTGCTATGTGGTAGTTTTGCACATTTGTTGGTAGAAGGCCTGCATAGATTTTCTGTGGCACTGGGTGGGAGAGTGCACACTACTGCCTGTTCCTCCAAGTGTTTCTCTGGGTTCTGGCGCTGGACTTTGGCCTTGGGAGCTTCATCAGCAAGCTCAAGGGCTTCATGCTTGTTCTTTCCTCGTTGAACTGAGGGACCGTTGCTGACACTTGAGTTCTTCTTTTGCAGGGTCCCATGGAGGCTTCCCATATTTTGGGGTTGGGTTGTTGTGTCGACTATCAATTGCATAAGATCTATCAATGAATTGAAAATTAAAGTAAATTAAAACATTCAATGTGCAGTAAAATGAATCAAATAGCATGATTACCCTCCCCTAGCATAGCAATGTCAGCAAGAACAGTGCTCCATTGGATTCCCTTTTCAAAGATTCCTCGGACTTCATGGCTCAGGCTGATCTTTTTCAAATGACTAAATCACAAGAATGCATTCATTTGTAATTGACTCATGCATGCCAATCATTGGGGAATGTCATGGGTTATTAAAAGAAGTTGTGAAGGTCCTGTCGTTCTACAGAGATCTGAGAGACATCCAGAGGCTTTGATCAGGTGATTTGAATTTCTTTTTTCTTTTTTTCTTTTTTTTTGGGGGGGGTCCGGTCGTGGGGCCTGAACTCTGGGCCTGGGTGCTGTCCTTCAGCTCTTCAGCTCAAGGCTAGCGCTCTACCACTTGAGCCACAGCGCCACTTCCGGCTTTTTTCTTTTTGCTTATGTGGTGCTGAGGAATCGAACCCAGGGCGTCTAGCATGCAAGACAAGCGCTCTACCACTGAGCCACCTTCATAGCCCCTTGATTTGAATTTCTCCTAAACATTTACCTTCCTTTTGTTCCTGGCTTAGAACTGGAATCAAGGCCTAGAAAATGGGAGTGATTTGGACTGGAATTATGATTGAAATGTGCCAAAGCTAGGTGGATTGTTGCTTTCCGTGGATTCAGCACTTACCTTCCTGCATGCCTTGGCATACTCTTGAATGACTGGCTGACACAATGTGAGGATAGACTACCTCCATGCTAGGGTCGCCTCCATCTCCTGGAGAGTCTCCATGAATTCCAAGAAATAAAGAAAAAGTTAGTCCCCTGCAAGTGAGATGTCCCACCTTCTCACTAACCAATGAAGGAGGTCTGCGCCAACACTGTGTATGTGCTCCTGTGGTCCCACCTTTGGACCACAGGCAAGGCCCTGTGTTTCAGGTGGGTTCAGCTCTAGCTACCAATGATGACAATGTGATGGCATTGTTTCTTTCCATGTTTCACTTTAGATATTCATTATCAGGAATATAAAAGTAAAAGTGATTGAAAAAACATTAAACATTTCAGCCTTGGCGTATGACTCAATGTTTGAACATCTGTTTGCTATTCTCTTGCCTCTGGGTTCAAATGCAGTCATTCCCCAAGAGGCAAGCAAAAAAAGTGGAGGAAAGCCATGCATTCTCTTAGAGGGTAGTCAATTCTTGTCACAACCTATGAGTAATAGTGGTATTATATTGCAATATTGAACAGCAAGGAATGCTTTGTGTTCTTTTTGAATTTTTCACTGTGTATTTTTGTGTTTGTATGTGTGTGTTTCTTGGTGTGTGTGTGTGAGAGAGAGTGAGTATATATAACTCTATATGAACTTAGATTTTTAGGATTCCTTTTGGAATCTTACTCTCTGGCTTGGCCTGTTTCCTCTAGTTTTGGTGCTCTTAACCCCTTGTACCAATCCTGTAATTTTAGATTTTAGCTCGTTAACTGACAATAAGAATCACAATAAGGATATGTTTGCCAGGGTTAGCTTCGATTATCAATGCTCAGATCTCAGCCTCCTGAGAGGCTAGCTTCCAGTCATTAGCCACTGGCTCCCGACAAGAAAAGACTTTACATGTGCAGAAAGGACATACCCTGAGCCTTGTTGCATTTAATCGCATCTCTGAACAAAGAAAATATAACTGTCACTAGCCTAAAATTATTAAGGTATTTTCCAAAATATCCATATTAGCAGATCAATGAATGGGAGTAATTCCAGTGTAGTGTTTTCTCAGGGAGTGATGAAAGCATAACCTCCATGTATGTGTCTGTGATCTTCTCCTAAATGCAGTTCAAATGGCCATGATCTTTCCATATTCCTTCGTTTAATAATTAATTGCTCAGTTTTGTGTTGGTATTGAGCAGTGCATCCAGGACACTGTATTTCTAGGTCAATGCTGTACCCCTTGAGTCATGTCTTTATCCCTCACTGCCTCAGATGGAGTCTACAGTTTGAGCGAATGTAGTGAAAGTAGTGGTTGTGGCTCAGGAGTCCAGTCAACCTGTGTGTGTAATTATCCTTGCTCAGATACACAATAGGTGTCGCTCAATTTATTCTTCTTGGCTCGCTCTACTCACCTGGAACATTTGTGTGTTGGACGGGTTCATCAGTCTCTGAGTCGTACATTCCCAAGGTGCAGACCGATGGTAAAACATTGATGGGATGAACACCCTCGAGGTCCATCCCTATATCTGATTGAGGGGTAGAGGCCCTACTCCCCATGTTGGACACAGAGCCATGAGGCTGCAGGCAGTGACCAAGTTCTCCAGAGTACAGGGGCCCATGTGTGTGGGGATGATAGCAATAGGTCTGGCTTCCTTCCCAATAGGTAGAGGACAGACTATCCTCTTCATTTCCTATGGGAGGAGCCAGGGTCCCCTGAACCAGACTGGGAGACAGTGATGGACATGGAGAAACTATGGCTCTGGCCTGTGCACATGTTGTGTACTGGCCGGTCAAAGCTGACAAAGAGATCACTGAGCTCTGGTGAGTGAGAGTCACAGTGTTGTGGCCTATCATGTCACATTCCCAAATCCTGGAATAGGAGGCAGCTGAGGTGGAGATGTGGCTGTGTGCAGCCTGCCCTGCCCACACGGTTGTGGTAGAATATTGGCACAGGTAGGCACTCCCCATGTGTGGGTGGAAAGAGAAGGCTGTGGGTGATGGCAGTGGCCATGCAGAAGTATAGGCTGGAGCCTGGTATCTGGAGAAGTTGTAGGCACTTGCTGTTATATTGGCATCGCTCCCCATAGGAAGAAAGAGCTGCTCCGGATTTGCAGCTCCAAGGACGTATGGATTGCAGAAATTATCTGGAAGAACAAGAGTGTTATGAGATGTATAGATTCTCATTTTATTTGAGGAACAGTGTAATTTGAAGTTTACAATGATCTTGAACTGTCTCATTCCAATCATCACTGACATGTCAACATTCACATTAGCATGGTGAGAAGTGGTTGAATTCATTTGATGTTCTTCTGAAGAACTTTCCCAAGCCATGCTGGGAACCTCAAGACATCACATGGTCTGCTTAAGTATTGTTGCTTAGGCTAGAATTAGGCATGTCTTTCTTGTTCTATCTTCTCCTGAGTCAGCAGTTGGAGTAATTGCTAAATGTCCTAGCAGGGGTGTGTTTTTCTAGGCTATCCCTAGGGAAGCTGTAACCTCATTTCATGAGTGAGGAAATAAGAGAGTTGAGAGGTCAACCTGATTCTTGAGCCTAACTCCTATGCAGGATTCTGTGTTCTAAGCAAAGACCAGAACGCGGTAGAAATACCAGTTTGCATAGAGGGCAATTGATGTTATTCAAGAGAAAGCAGAGAGTGTTGGATCCGTTTGCCTAAAACTTTAGTTAAATGTGGACTGAGATCTGAGTATCTTCCCAGATGGAAAGATCCATGAAACACTTATCTCCAATTAAGCAAGAAAATTCCAGTTACATAGAGGTAGACTGTTGACCATGAGCAAAGTACTAAGGAACCTATGGCTTTACCTCAGGAACTCTGTCCTGAGTTCAAGATACAGTCCTGGCACACACCTGAAAAAAGGGGATTGTGTTGATTGTTTCATTGGTATTGTTGTGCTCTCTCTCTCTCTAGTCTTGTGCAATTCACATGCCATATCAACATATCATTTGCATGTGGTTTTATGTATTTGGACTGTTTCTTATCCAAAGTCATGACCCCCTGAGAGGTAGGTTCTGAAGCAATGCATTTTGCAAGAAAAATGTACAATTTTCTGAGCTTGTAGTTACCAATCAGTAATAGGAGGCAAAATGATAAGAGTAATACTGGTAATAATAACTGATAATGAATACAAGTGGTATAATATACAGGGCTGATGTAGGAAGCTATGTGGTACAAAGGTATTCCAAAATCCAAAATATGACTCAGAAAATAATCTGAAAATATGTATATGTGTGAAGCACTTATCCAAAGATGAGTATATTTACTAATGAAGTTAGGTTATCACACTTGCATATTATGAAGAGTGCATATTATCAGGTTCCTTTTAGCACCAAACAAGCACAGGGTAGAAGGTGACTGTGAATTAAGAACTTTTGTGGTTGTGTGCTGGTTCCGGGACTTGAACTCAAGGCCTGAATGTTGTTTCTCACTATATTGATCAAGGCTGCTGTTCTACCTCTTGAACCACAGGTGTATTTCTTGCTTTTTTGTGGTTAAGTGAGATAGAATCTCATGGTGATTCCTGCTCAGGCTGACTTTGAAACCAGATCTTCAGATCTCAACCTCCTGATTAACTTGGATTACAGACCTGAGCCACCAGTTCCTGGCTAAGACATATTTTTGTGAATAAGTTGCCAAGGCTGGCATTAAACTGTTAATATTCCACCTTTACTTTTTGAGTAGCCACAATTCTGATCAGCTTAGGATCATAAATCACGCATTTGTCTTGATTTTAAGTCAGTTTCTTGCCGGTAGATACTGATGGGAAAACTCTTTCTGTAACTAGGGAGCCCAATGCAGTAAATGCTAGTTTGTAAGCAGTCATAATTTGTGTGGAGCAATATTGTAATAAAAATGGCTAAGAAGCTGTATCTTTCTGCATTTCTAGCATGGGGGACATGGTAGTTGGAATACCAATGATGTCACTATTTCTGAGACCAGTTTGAGCAATATAGCATTAAACACAAAATAAGCCAAAATGATGTGATTCACAGGAACTTAATAAATATAAAAGAATCCTTTTAGTTGACCTATTCATATTTCTGTTTATCTTACTAACCAAGTAACAAAGAGTAATCTTTCAGATATTTTAATTAATACAGGCATAAACAGAAACTACAACTAAACTCAAAAACTTGTGAAAATTTACATAATTTTCCTCATTTTCAAACTTACCTTATATTCATCTTGACCAAAATATCACCCCAAAAGTATGAACAATAACTAGCATTATAGTCCAATTAAATCAGCTTTATTCTAGTTATTATTTTTATGATCAGGTTTGGGGACATGAGCAAGGCCTTTTGTGTATTCAGGGTGAACGAAGACACTGAAGTATAATCCAAGCCCCAAACAATTATTTTAAATTTAGAAAACCCCAACTGACATAAAATTTGATTTGGATAAAAGTCAAATTTAAGAAATGGAAATGAACTTTATTTTTATTCTTCAACTTATCTACATTGTTTTTCACCTAAAATCCATGACTTTTAGTAAGATTGCATTTTTCTGAACATTATTATACAGTTAAAATATTGCATAAGGACAAACAAAACTGTGACTGGCTCTATTGACATGCCTGAACTTCTAACTACAAGGAGGCTGAGATCTGAGGATTGCAGTTCAATGTCAGAAGGCTCTGGATAATCTGTGAGTCATATATCCAGGTCACTACTGCAAAGCCAGATGTGAATTTATAACAAAAGAATTAGAGCCCAAGCCTTGAACACAAAAGATTATGGAAAGCATCCAGGCCACAAGTTCGAGCCACATGAAAGACATTTTAAAAATGTAAACAAGGCTGATATTTGCATTGACATTGTTCGGCTCTTTACCCTGTCCAAGTCACCCACCACTTGGTACAGTTCTTTTGAAGTGCTTACAAAATGATTATTAAAGGGGTATTTGACCCCCTTCAGGTCTGACTTAAGATTCTAAATTACAATGACTCTCTGAGAGCAAGTTACTCCAGAAAAGACTTTTGTATGTAAGATGTTTAACTTTCTGAACTTCTAGTAACTTATCAGTGATGGGTAAAAATAACAGTAATAATAGTGATAAAAGAAAACTATGGATAATATATAAAAGTGTCAATTTACTTCAGGACTGATATGAAAAGAGATAAAATAAATTCTGTAACATTAGAGAAAAAAATCTAAAATATGACATATTGAACTATAATAAAGATATGAATGAAAATTTGGATATGTGTCTAGCATTCTAGTATTCTATATTTACTAATAAGTATATATCACACTTGCGATCTTACGAAAAGGAAAAGATCTACTTCATTTTAACAACCAAAAACAAAAAACAAAAAACCAGGGTTCAAGGAATGAGTAACTGTGACCTAAGAATAGTTTGTGGGGGCTGGGAAGGTGGCTTAGTGGTAAAGTGCTTGCCTTGCATGCAGGAGGCCCTGGGTTCGATTCCTCAGTACCACATAAGCAGGAAAAAAATGCCGGAAATGATACTGTGGCTCAAGTGGTAGAGCACTAGTCTTGAGGTGAAGAGCTGAGGGATAGCACCCAGGCCCAGAGTTCAGGCCCCACGACTGGACCAAAAAAAAAAATTAAAAATTAAAAAAAAGAATAGTTTGTGTGGGGTGTTCTGGTCCTGGGCATTGAACTTGGGACTTGAGTGCTGTCCCAGACTTGAGGCTAGCACTCGTCCTCTTGATTCACAGCTTCATATCTGACTTTGTGATGGTTGATTGTAGATAAGGCTTTTGGAACTCTGCCTGGACTGGCTTTAAACTATGATCTTTGTAGCTCAGTCTCATGACCAAGATGCCAGGGCCTTGTAGCTTGCTAAGAAGGTAGATTTTGTGTGTGTGTGTGTGTGTGTGTGTGTGTGTGTGTGTGTGTGTGTATGTTGGGGAGAATTTAACCAAAACTTGCCAAGGCTGGCATTAAATTTGGAATCTTCCAACTCAATTTTCGAGTAGCTTCAATTCCAATTAAAACACTCACTAGGCTTGTTTTTGAATGAATTTCTTCCCATTGCATACTGACAGGATATATCTGTAAAATGTACCTAAAAAGCACTAACCTGCAGGAATTAGCAGCATTTAAGCAGTCATAATTCATGTATCGTGAGAGTTAAAAAAATGGTTTTGAAGTTAATCACCTCTGTCTTCCTTGAACCTGGGATACTGAGTTTTAGGAATCAATATTTCATGGTGTTTGAGAGCAGTTTGGGCAAAATAGCATAAACACAAACAGTAAGGGAAGTATATGAAAAACACAAACAGGGCTCGGTGCTGGTGGTTCATACCTGAAATCCTAGCTACTGAGGAGGCTGAAATAATGAGAGTGGGGGTTCAAAGCCATCTGGGTAAAAAAGGCAGTAAGACTCATCTCTTTTGAACCACCAGAAAAGAGAAGAGACCCTGTGGTTCCAAGTGGTAGAACTCTAGCCTTGAGCAAAAAACGCTCAGGCACAGCACCCATGTTTGGAGTTCAAGGCTCAGGATCCACAGAAAAAACACATCTAAACCAAAGTAAAACAAAGTATCAAACAAGGTAAAATGGCATAGTAGACATCAAATCAATACATTTAAACAAATCTTGTCATTATATATCTTCAATTACTCATAATGTTATGGACCAAGATTTGCATGTTAAATCTTCTAGAAAGACATTTTAATTTATTTGCCCATAAACAAGAGTAGTAGAATGTCTTTAGAGTTTGACAGTTTCCATATTCATTTTCAAAACCTAGCTTATCTCTTCAGCACTTAATAATTATCATCCCAATAGGCTTAAAAATAATAACCATCACAATCCAATTATACCAATTATATTGTTATTTCTATTACTGTTGTTATTATTATCATGATAATAATACAAAACCAAGGCTTTGTATATATTATGCATAAACCATGTCACCAAATTATATCCCCAGACCCAAATAGTTCTTTCACATGCAGAAAACTCAAACTACCCAAAGTAAGTGGAGAAATGGAGATGGAATTTTGCTTTTTATTCTTAAGTTTTTGTTTCTGAGTTTTGATCTAAAACAACTGACTGTTAGTAACAATGTGTCGTTTTAGCCGCAAAATTATTATAAAGATAAAAAGCAGCTATTAGTTGAAACCTATTTCGAAGGATACAGACTCTTGATGAAGAAAATGGATGTGGGTCTCTGCAGTGTCATAGCCTGATCCTAGGTATTCAGGGGGCTAAGATCACTGGATTGCAATTCTAAGCCAACCAGGCTAGGAGAGTTCCAGAAACATTGATCTCCAATTACCTATTGAGAATCTGGAGGTAGAGCTGTGGATCAAGTGGGAGAATGTTAGCCTTGAACTCA